CGGGGGGAAAGGGGACAGCTCAGCACAGGGTTGTCCACTGCATAGATCCTGAATCCCCACCTGGCAAACGCTGTAACACAGGGCTGCGGAGGAGGGGCTGCCTCCACACGTCTGCAGAAACGCATTCAGCCACCACCAACCAACCTCCCACGCTCCCCAGCTGAAGGTGGGTGCGAGGTAGGACTGGGATTAAGGAATCTTCCTGGAGGAGGAGCTGTTTGCCTTGGACTTTGGGTGGCAGTGGAGTCCAGGGGTTAATGGCACAGGCTTTGGAATTATAGGTTTCAGTCCCACCTTGGCCGCTCAGTAGCGGAGTGACCCCAGGCAACTCACATTGACTCTCTCTGGGCCTTAGCTTCCTTAACTGTACAATGGGCACAAGAAGCCTGAAGGGAGCTGTAAGGATCTGATGAGAGATGGTGCCCCAGGGCCTGGCCCAGGCCAGCTGGCCCTATGGAGAGTGGCCTTTACCAGCAATATCAGAGAAGGACACAGAGCTCTCGGCTGTCCCTGTCCTAAATCAGCTGCTCCTCCTGGGCAGACGAACCCTGGTCCCAGGATTTCTAAGAGCAAAGCAACCCTCTTGGATTTTCCTAAAGGGCTCTGGCTGGGTCAGAATAAGGCCTCTGCATCTCTTGAGGCAGCACAGGCCCTGGCAACCTGCAGACAAGCTGGGAGGTTATTTCCCCCAACGTCCCCTGACCCCAGGTTTGTTGCTGGCAAATCCTGCCCGGGGACAATGTCAAGAAAGACAGAAGGACGTGTAGGAGACCACCCAGAGTCACCGCTGTTCCGAGCACCCAGCGCGCCAGAGCTCTGCTTACCCCAGAGGGCCATGAAGATGGAGAAGAAGACGGTGGCAGGGTTGTCGAAGAGGTGGCTGGCCCGGGCAGTGGCGCAGGCCGAGCTCATCTTCCAGTAGCTGCAGGTCTTGTCGCAGAGGGGACACATGGTGATGTTGTGTCTCTGGTCGCACATTTCCATGCTGGAAGACAGGGAGCAGCCCTTGAGTCCTTGGACACGTGGACGGCAGTCCTCCTGGGGGCCACGTCGGGGTGGGAGAAAGTGCTGGTCCCCCAGGTCCCCACCGGGGTGGACACTGACAAGGCGTGTTGGCCAGCTTCAGCCAGCCACGCCCTGTCCCTCCTGGACATCCAGGACTGGCCCACGGGTGTGTGACATGTGCTGCCACAGTGGCCCAGGGCTCAGGAGGGACCACTGCTGTCACCGTCTTAAAATTCGTAATAATTTTTGAACACGGGTCCTGCATTTTCATTTTTCACGGGGCCCTGCAACTTCTGTAGCCAGCTCTGGATGTGGGCCCACCCAGCCTTACTTTGCGGCAGGAGAGGGGCGCGAGAGTGATCACCTCTGGGGGGGACGCTGGGCAGCAGCACCGCAGCCTGTGCTCAAGCCACTTCTAGGAGAAGCCGAGAGTCCTGGCCAGCCTCCCCCTAACCCCCGGGTGCTGGCTAGGCTCGTGCTGACAGCACCCGCCGTCCAGGTTCTTACACTATAAGGCCCTGCGGAATGGAAAGAGGGCTAGGCAAAAGCCACAAGAACGCCGCGCCCTTCCTGAGTCCTTGCTAGGGGCCAGGCGCTGTGCTGAGTGCCGCTCGTGCAGCGTCTCCATCCATCCGCGTGGGGCAGCTGCCCTGGGCATGGCCTGGCTGTCAAGCCATGAGCAACACTGGTGCTTGGGACGCATGGGAAGGGGGAGAAAGGGCAGTCCCCAGACTCCTCTCTGGGAGGCCGGGGCTGGGTGGGAAGGAACAAATGCTCAAGCTGCCTGGGGCTGGGGAGGGCCACCCTGAGGGGCTCGCTCAGCAAGTGGTGCCTGCCCTGGACGGTGGGTTCTGTCCAGTGCAGGCTTCTGTTCTGGTGAGCAGACAGGCAAGTCTGGGGCCAGAGGGCACCTCCTGGGGACAGGAGAGCGGAGCATCGTGATGCTCGAGGTCTATCTCCTTGTCCCCCTCCCCCAGCACTCAGTTTCTCTCCTAATACTAAAAAATACCAACACTAAATAAGACCATCAGCGGCGGGAGCAGGGGCCTCATTACTGGCCCGCGTGGAGCGTCTGGCTGGCCTGGACCAGCGTTGGGGTCTATTATAATCCCTTCTTCACAGATGAGGAAATGAGCCCAGAGAGGGGAAGTGACCTTCTCAGGGCCACAGCAGAGTGCGAATTGAACCCTGGTCTCTGTCTTCAAAGCCTGTGCACTGGGCGGCTCTCATCCACTGACCAGAGACCACAAAGGTTTCCCTGCTGAGGCTGGAGGCCTAGGCTGGCTCCCTGCTGGGTTATTCCTACCCTCTGTGACCCCGGTCAAGTCCTTTAGCCTCAGACTCAGTTTTCCTTTCCGGAAAATGAGGAGAGGGCCCAGAGTAAGGTCCTTCCAGCCTTGACCTGCCCCGAACTTTCTCCTTCCTGCTGATTTGGACAAGGCTCTGGGCTATAAATAGACACCAGGCTGCAGTGCTCACTTCCAGAGGCTGGATGGTTATCCAGGAGAAAGCCAGAGTGGGCGTTTTGTTTTTAAAATTTTTGGATATGCATGGACTTATATACAGGATCACGCCTGGCCCACAGCAGTTGGTGTTTCATAAACACCTGCCACAGGCTCTGCGGGAGCCTCCTCTGTGCCCAGCACCATGGGCATTCTGTCTCTATCCTCTTCTTCCAGTTACAGTCACTAAACATTTATTTAAAAATTGTGTATGTTCCGCATGTGCCAGGTACTGTGTCAGGCACAAGAGATGGAAAGATGGAGGAAAGATTAATCGCAGCAAGGCCACTGCCCCGGAGCATCTGGGTGTGTGTGTGTGTGTGTGTGTGTGTGTGTGTGTGTGTGTGTGTGTGTACCAGCACGTGTGCATGGGAGGGGAAGGGGTGAGGGGCAGGCATGCACTGGCGGTAGGAGAGCGTGTACTCCGAAGTCAGCCAGCTCTGGACTTGAATCTCAGCTCTAGCATTTGTGATCTGTGTGGCCTCAAACACCTTGTGCCTCAGTTTCCCCATCTGTAGAATGGGGATGTTGATAATAAAGAGGACCCTTGCTATGGGGTTGTCAGGAGGATTAAACAATCTAATGCATGTGCAACCCTTGGAACAGTATCTGGCACACATTGGCCGGATGTGCGATCACCAATATTTTTATCATTACGGGATTAACCAAGCGCCTCGCAATTGCAGTGATTTTTTTTTTTTCCTTTTTGTCTTTTTTCGTGACCGGCAACGGATCGCAACCCTCAGTGTCGCGCCCGTACCGGACCGGGACCGGCAATGGGATTGCAACCCTCGGTGTTGCGCCCGCATCTCGC